TTAAATTTATCTCAAAAATATCAAAGAAAAAAACAATTCATATTCTTCTTTTCTTTTATAAACTTCTTCATCAACAAAAATGAAGAATAAAAACCAATTCATTATTTGATTTTAGATTAATTCGGTTTTCTGATTTTTATTTTTTGAAAAATAAGCCTTACATATTATTTATAAATTCAAAGTATTTTAAGAGGACTTAAAGACATACAAGACAAAATTGCCTTATATATTTTTTGAAAATGAGTATGTTTTATAAACAAAATATTAATCAATGTAAAAAATAATAACATTAACCAACTAATACTTTCTAATCAAAAAAAAATCTATAATTCATTAAAAGTATCAAGTGCACTCTTTTCAACAGAGCAATCAATTTGTTTTTTATCAAGAAGTTGCCAAAATAAAGATTGTTTAGAATATTGTGACAATGAAGAAGGGGTTTTAGTTCCTAATGATTGAATTGAGCCCATATCATCATCAGTTTCTTTCATAAATGATTTATATGGGTTATTAAACTCAACAACCTGACTAAAATGTTCTAGAATAGTATATATATTAGGTCGTTTATTTTGATCAAAAACAAGCATTTCTTTAAGTAAAAACTTCATTCGTTTTGACATTTGATAGTCAGTTAAATCCAACTGTTTTACATCAGAAATGCAAAGGGGTGCAGAGAATGGTGGAGCTCCAATTGCAATCTCAAATAATAAACACCCAAGTGCCCAGATATCACTTTTTCTACTAATTGGTTGGTTTTCATATAGTAATATCATTTCTGGAGATTGATATTCTGGTTTAACATTATTGTTAATAAACTCTTTGATTGTTTGATGATCGTTTGGCTTTCTGTAATAAAATGTCTCTGATAATTGAGCACTTCCAAAATCACATAATTTTACAGTATAATCATCTGATAATAAAACGTGTTCTTTTCTAAGATTAAAATATGTAATAGATGGTTTCTGACTGTGAAGAAAAGCAAGTGCACTTGCAATTCCATGAAATACTTCAATAATTGTTTCTTCTGGTATTGGTAAAGAAAAAGCATCATCTATAGTATAAGGACAGTACTCAGAAAATAAAAGCATAGAATCACTTAATTGAGTATACCCATAGTATTGAATGATATTTGGAGTTCTAGTACAATGAGATAATAATGAAATTTCATCAGTAACTTTGCCTATCATTTCAGATGTAGAAAGTTCAAATCTTTTACAGACTAAATTATGAGGAAGAGTAGATGATGAACTTTGTTCTGTCAAGTAAATAGTTGAATTCCTTCCTGTAGAAAGTACTTTCTTAATCACTAACTTTTCATTTCCTAATCTTAATGTACTATTACCGTTTCCCATGTCCCCTAAATTACTGAAAGGAGTTCATTAGATAAACAATTAGATAAGGAATTTTGAAAGCAATACTACTTTTCAATCTTTCTCATTTTTAATAAGTATAGATTTATCATGACTTCATTTACTATATCTTTGGTTTCTCTATAAAAATTATTCATCTTTATTTATGACGATTTACTTTTCTTACTAAACAGATTTTTCTTTAATTATTTTTGTTATTTATCACAATAAATATTAAAAAGAAAAAAACTAATTATTCAGATGCCAAAGGGAAGACATTCAAAAATCAAAACATGTGACCCTTTTTGTCCACAATCACGAAAAGATGCAGAGGTTAAGCCTCATCAGCCAGAAGACCTTCCGTACAAGGAAGAAAACGATTTAAAAATTCCTCGTAAATTGAAGACAATGCAATATCTTCTCGAACACAATGGTAAATCAAATATCCAATCTTCAGAAAAACGAAGAAAAGAACTTGCAAAAATAACGGGTCAAATTAAAAAAACAGAGGCAAAAAAAATAAGGTCAGATGAATTCTCAATAAAAAGAAAACTTCAAAAAGAAGATAAAGAACTTGCTCGTTTATTAAAAGAAAAACACCGTTTAGAGGCAATGCTTAAATAAATTGATTGAGATTTTTTCTGATTTGTTTTTCTTTCTTAGCAATAAACTTTTATGAATTCACAGATTGTATTACAATAAAATCTTCTTCAAGTACACTATTTTCTTTATTTATAAGAAAATTCACTGAAAAATTTCAAATATTAACGCAAATCCTTGAAGTTGATTAATAATATTTTTATTAATTCATCTGATAAAACATTTTACGATTATTTATTAAAAGTCTTTTTAATGGTTATTTAGAAATTTTAGTTATAAAAAGTTGAGATAATTATCAAACTGATTTCAATAAAACACTTTTATGGTTTTCTTATTATTGAATTTAATAATCAGGTATTACACATATATTTTTATGTAAAGAAGTGAAGATATCAATGAATAATATCATAATCTTGTTTTATGTTATTTTAATTATTTATCAAAAAGGGGATTTTGTTTTTATAAACGAATCATTTTAAATATTTTGTTCATAAAACTATTGTTATATTTTTACAAGTGTTAAAGCCAATTAGTTCTATATCAGTTAAGGAAATAATGTTTTCTTTAATATAGTATTGTTCAAATATTTATTTGAGATAATGAGATATTTTAAAAGTAGTAACAAAAACATTGGTTATTGTGTTAGTTCTAATTCTTGTTCAATTAAAAATATCACTTTAATCAAAAATGAAAAACTGATATAAGTAATTGATATAACAATATGCAATGTATGAAATATTAACATAAAATAGGTTGGTATAAATAATTTAGAAAATGGGTGTGTTGTTATAGAGTTATGAGTTTTTAGTTAATGAAAGTTTATTCACTTGTTTATTTTGAGAAATGGAGATGGTAATTATTAAATAGATAATTCTATTGAAGGAGATAATAACAGGGTGTGAGGATATACATTTCAAATATGGAGAGTGGGAAATAGGGATATGGGAATGGAAAGATATAAATTCAACAAGAAGTTCAAAAGAAAACAATAGAAGTGTTTCTGATTTAGTCCATATATATTAAATAAATTATAAAATATAGTTTGGATTTTATAGAATAAAAACATACAGAACAAAAATAGTGTTAATGCCATACCCAAATCAAATCAGCAATACACAGTATTAAACAGTTAAGACTAATATTATGTTATCGTTAGAAATAAGTATGAACAGAAAAGAAAGAGAAGAAATGATAAAACAGAGAAAAAACACAAGAACAAAAATTTGGAACAATGATAAAATGAATGTAATAAGAAGAAAGATAAAATTAAGGATAAAGAGTACTAATACAAAAAGATTATAGAAATAAGAAAATAATAGAAAGAAAAGAAATAAAGAAACAACATTTAAAACATAAAAATGAAGAAAAATAGAAAAAGAAATATCTGAAGAAAAAAAAAGAGGAAAACATAAAGTGGAACAAGACAAGAATAACTTTAAAATCATATATAATGTCCATTATAACAAGGAACAGATATGCAGATAAAAGAAATTATCAGTCAAAAGTTAGAGCATTTTGTATTGCACTAATAAATAGACATTGTGATGTTGAAGTGAAACAACGAAGAAATGTTAAATGTATCACATTACCATTTTTTCAAATTAAAAGACTTCACTTTAATAATAAGGAAGAATATGTTA